TCATTAACACATACTTCTCTTTCGCTGCCCTGAAGGACTTCTTGCGTGGCTTCTTGTCGACCGTATCGGTGCCGACTTCTGTGTTGGGCAGGTCATTTGGCGAAATCATAGTTAAGTTATCTAGAAAAATAAATGTATTTAATAATAAATAACGGGTTTTTGTACTATTTTGTGTGTCACTTACCTGGATGGCAGAAGAATGCAATGGAATGACGGCCACGCGTGCGTATATGTGGCTGTTCTGGTATCACAACACGATGTTGCTGCAATGAAAAAAAGAAAGTCATAAGTTGCAGATTTTTAAGTACGGCAAATAACCCATAAATTATAGTCTTATTTTAGAACTGCGTACTATAAAAATTACACCATGGATATGAGTATGCTATATCTCAAAAAATAAAGCTAATACTTAAGGCAAAAGAATCAGGATACCAAATACATATCTACAAAACAGCTGCTTGACCTTTTAGAAAAACTTGTTAAATATGTGTTATTATTAAATTGTTCTCTGAACTATTTATGTAGCCTTAGACCAATTAGCTGAGGCAATTAAACTTTGAATTGCGGCATTCAGTTTGGCGTTCACACACACGTCAGCAGCCCAATTATCGATACGAATTTAGCTGCTGAATTACCTACAGTGATGGAAAAGTTGGTACAATCGTACCTTTATTTAGTTTGAAAGTACATTCGGTACAACACACACAATTTTAGATACGTTTGGAACGTAGACAAATAACTTCTCAGATATCAGTTCTTATTTTTATTGACATTTCAATGCGTTTGCTGGTGGGGCCAACTGATCTAATAGCTTCTCTCCTTCGTGAAGGGGCATACAAATAATACAGAAGGGTGGTCAAAGTTACGCAACTGTAGTTGATTTCGCCAGATAGATGGAAAATATTTCTTTTTAAAATGTTAGATCAAAGAACTGTGAGGAAAGTGATTCTCCTTTCTACAACATAGCTTTGTCTCGCGCTGCTCGAAGAGATTCTTTACATAGCCAAAATTTGTTGAATGTGAGTACAGAAGTTAATATGGTATCAATGGGAATTGTTATGATGTATTATCCTCCTATTTCTCTTTATATAGAAATGCATATATATAATTTCCAGGTACATCTATCTACTTTTAGGTAAAGTTTTCATTAAATTAGGTACAATTTTATAATTCAACTATAAAAGAGGACCACAAACAAACAGCTGATTGCTCTTTGTTTAATAAACATACCTCCAAGTCAAAATTAAACATACCTAGCAGGGTTGCATAGAGAATCTGACACAAAATAATTGCCAATTAATTATTAATTATTTGTGCCTGTTTGAACATAGTCTTAAAACGCCTTCACCATAATCCAATAGCTTTCAGCTGATCCCAGCACAACCAGATTTGGGTTACCGAAAAGAAAGGCCGTTCAATCACAGTGGCCTTATAATTAGACTACCACATGCCCACCGTCAAGTTATATTATGCCAAAGGTTTGAACTAACCACAAATCCCATACAAAATAGTCAAGCTGCAGTAACTGGATTCGCGGAGAAACCCAAATCAAGAAGGCCGTGGATATCCTTTACAGATGGATCAAAGACAAAACGCGACGTAAGTGCTGGGATTTTTGTCTCAATTTTCGGCTAATCTTTCGCTTGTCGCACTACGCAATCGTTTTCTATGCGGAAGCGTTTGTAATAAAGTAGGATATTTGAGCAAAAAGTAGAAACATAACATATGGATATTAAACTTTGGGCATAGTTTGGTTGAGGTACTTAAATGGCTGCTCCTCTGAGTTTTACAAAAACGTTAATCATTCTTGTTTTCAAGGTGGTGGCTATTCCACAGACTCTAGCAACCCCAACCGCAGACAGTAAAAGGTCAACCAAAATAACTATATTCCTCTCAACCCACAATTTGGTAATTATAACCCAATAATGTAACTATGTATAAGCAAATCATGTGTTGAGAAAAACATATTTAGTTGACGCAACTAAACTCTTTTCTCAGTGTAGTGCAAGATATTTTGCACCAAACAGCGATAAGCCAATTATACAAAATAAAACACTTCATTAAAAATTAAAAATTTAACCTGCAGACCTAAGATATACCAAAACCATTCTCCATCGGTTGAGCCTCATATCATTTACCAATGCAATTACATATGTACAAAGATTTTAATAATTATACATGCATATATGAACATATGTGTGTATGCTGTATACCAATGTATTTTCTCAGTTCTTGTCATATACATACAAGTCGTCATAAAAAATCTGAGTTGGTGGAAATATTAAAACGCAAGTGTAAGAAAACCAAATTAAAAAGGCAGGTAGAAGGAAGGTAAAGAGAAATGAGTCATACGTACATACATACATACAGTGATGAACAAAAGTATTGGCACAGTGAATTTTTCGCCATATATGCAAAGTTTTTTATTCTAATTTATTTTCGATAATTTTTTACAAAAATATAGTTCATTTTCCACCAGAAAACGTAATAATAAAATCTCTAAACTTTGTGCAAAACTCAGGAAAATTCTTTAAATATGCACACTGATTTGCAACTTTTTATTCAGATTTTTAAAAAAATTTCAAGTATGCAGTTTTATAGCCCATTCAAATTTAGTATAACAAAGCGTAAGTTTAAAGTTGCTAGAAAATCGCGTTGATTTTTGCCAATTTTTTTAGTGGAAGGTGTTGCTCATTTTCTCCATACAAAAAATAATTGTCGAATTACTTTGTATGAAAGAACTTGCGTGAAAAAACATTACCAAAAATCAATGTGATTTTCTAGCGACTTCAAACTTTCACTTTGTTATACAAAATTTGAATGGGCTATAAAACTGCATACTTAGAATTTTTCTAAAAAATCTGAATAAAAAGTTGCAAATTAGTGTGCAAATTTAATGAATTTTCCTGAGTTTTGCACAAAGTTTAGAGATTTTATTATTTAGGGAGTTCACAAGGTGTTGCATACTGTCGTACTGTTGTATGTCATAAACTTTAAACGACTAAAACTCTATTTAAGGAATTCGCAAGCTAACATAAAAGTTTTATTATGAAATTTCACACAATTAAAGAATAGTTGGTGGTGATTTCAAGTCCTCTAAACATTTATTTAGCCGTTAAAAACTTTACAACATACAACAATACGACAAGTACGACACCTTGTGAGCCACCCAATTATGTTTTCTGGTGTAAAATGAACAATATTTTTATAAAAAATGATCGAAAATAAATTAGAATAAAGAACTTTGCATATATTGCGAAAAATTCACTGTGCCAATACTTCTGTTCGGCACTGTATGTATGTAAATGTATTTTGAAAAATGTGATATTAATAAATATCTTTAAATTTTCTCAACCACTCACCAATGCTGGATAACGTCCTTTCGTCCATATCGACAAGATTTCACCGCAGTTTATCAATATGGCACCGGGCAAATGGCCAACACGCTGCCATTTTTCACTACCCGGCATTTTCACCTCAAGTCCACCCTCCGAGTCCTGAGCCAACAATGTAAATGTACCATAATCTGTGTGTGCACCACAGCGTATCATTTCACCGTTGGGCAACTGACGTTCAGTGGTGTCCTTGCTTTCATCTTTGCCATCCAATTCGTTGATTTCATCACGCGGATTCGTTTCTGGCCGGAAATCGGGTTTATCCGACAAACAACGTTGATAACTGTAAATACAACTGCCCTTAATAAAGTCATTCTTCTCATCCGTATCCTCAATGATGGGCGGATAGTAGAGCAGACGTAGTGTGGACTCGTTGTCATGATCACCGGACAGCATGTGTGAGTGTTTCTCGAGAAAGAACGATTGTGGTATGTCGAGCGAGACGGCAAGTGCCTGCAGAATGAAGCGGGAGAGTGCTTTGAAATCCTGTGCCAAGCATGAAATGTGTTCCGCGAAGCCAGGTAATGGTTCTTCGGGTAAATTTTTCGCATTTAATGTGCAAATGTTGAAAGCATGGCGGAGTTCAGGAGTTTTGCCATTGAAACGCTCTACGCCTGGGCGCACGTAGCCGTGATTATCATCACCAGTGCGTAGGTAATGCTCCTTCACATCGCCAGGTAGGTCAACAAAATCATCGAGATGATCCCAAGCGGTTTTTAACTGAAATTATAGCAGTGTGGTTCAGATATTTAAGTGTGTGATATGCAAGTGGCAATGCTAAAGGCAAACTAATTATCATACCTTTTCATCGGAAATGCCATGATTTACAAGCAAGCATAGTCCCTTTTCGGACATACATTTTTGTAATTGATGCCCGACTCGATTCACAACTGAACGCACTGGCGCCTCTTCGGTCCCTATGGATGAGAAAGCAGCGAAATTATATATGAAGTATAGTTGAGCAAACTTTATCGAATCTACAAAGTATTTAAAAATTATTTGAATGAAACCCACAATGAATTAGCAGTTTGAAAATGTTTTAAGGTTTTAAGCAAAAAAGCAACAGTGAATTTTAGTCGCAATTTTTTCAGCGGCAATTAGCGCTAATGACAATATGCATTTACTATATGTTTGTATGTACATAGCGGTGTGATGAAAGTTGAAAAAGTTGATAATTATTTGATTTTGCATCGAATTAACTGCAGAATCAGCGTTCTTATACACATATATAATTAAATAAAGGTAATAGCTGCTGTCACACTTTAATTTATTTAATTTTAATTGCTATGAGCCCTTAACCGCTTCCGCGTGACTTAAATATTATTAAGCATTATCCCACAATGTAAATAAATACATATGTATGTAGACTTCGAAAGCCGCTGGATAAATACAATTTAATATACATTTCATATTTAAAACCACTCCAAAGAGTAATTAAATTTTTTCGGTAGGTTTACAAGCTTTAATTTAGCTTGTAATATTTAATGTACATGTGTAAATTAGGGTGGTCCACCCCCTATGATTGTTATATGTAAACCACAAAAATACCACATTTTTATCAAAAAAATATTTAGGGTCGCTCAAAGCACTCAAAATTTTCAATATTTCAATATTTTTAGATCGGAAAACTCTGTTTCTCATCAGGAGATTCCCCATAACAATACAAAATTATTTATTTAACCATTTTTTTATAGTAACTATATTTTATAGGTCCGCCAAAACCCCCTGAAAATGTAATTTGGGGATGAATAAAAAATCTTTAGTAATAAAAAACCAGAGTTTTCCCGATCGTAAGATATTGATTTTCAAGAATTGTATACCATTTCAATGAAAAGTGTTTTTTATACATATAAAATACATGGAAAACTGTGAGCGATCTCAAAATAAAAAATAGGGGTATATTTTTTTCCGATATGGAATAATCCTGGGGGGTGAGAGCGTTAAAATTCCGGCTTTACTTTTTTTTGGACCACCTTAGTGTACGTACGCAAGCATTTTTAACCATTTGCTGGTGTCCGATTGACCTGAAACGTTTTCTCTAATACAGTCTGTATCAAAGGAGAGTGACCTTGTTTACTGAGAATTTTAGTAGGGTTGCCACTTGTTACAAAAATTACTACATTCAGTCCTAATAAGCGTAGGCATCGGTTCTGCGCCATCACTGTCAAATGAAAATACTTAGCCGCTTGATGTGTAAAAATGTATTATTTTATTAAGTAGGGTTGCCACCTCCTGCGTATATGTACTTATATACACATTCAGCGGTTGGCGAACCCTCGCGCAAACGAGGCCGGCTAATAAAATATGGGAAAAGTGTGCTCGTTTGGCATTGTATTTTTGTCAATAAGAAAAATATTGTATTATATTATCAAAAAAAACAACAAATGCATTTGCTTTAAAAGCAAACTCGAAAGATATGAGTAAAGTTACTCAGAGTTCAATAAATTGTTTTTGAGTTTTTTGATTAATCAGGATAATGGCTAATAAAAAAATTATTTAATCGATTAAGCGCACATCCCTAACATACATATATATCGTCGTTTAAAGTAATAAAATCGCTTATCAAAATAAGACGAAACCTCGTATGTGAAGTTTACCCAATTGTAAAGAATAGAGTAAAACTTATTTCAAAATGGTTATCCTAATTATACCTAATTATCTCTACCTTTTATATCTACATTTCGATATTTGGGTATGGATGAAAAAGGCTTGTGAGCAAATCCGGTGAGCAAATCTCATTTTTGGCACAATGTCCGTTTTGCGACGATATATATATAAATACATACATACATATGTGCTTTGACCACGCGAGAATAAACTTTTTCTGTTACGGAAGCGGTTTGTCGATTTGACCCGAGACCAAAAAACTTTGTCATTTAACTCCCTCTGCAAAGTTATAAAAGTTATTCACACCAACTCGTCGGCGTGACCGATCTATCTCGGCTGCCGGTTCGAAAGAAGCACAAAATAGAATTACGTTGTACAACATGCCCATTAAGGTTGCGACGAGTTGTATTTTTTTTTTTTTGTTACACGTGTCTACTTTTTTATTGATCGGTGATCACTCTTATGCCGATTTGGTTTCTACCGAAAAATGCAACCTTCTCTTTGCCCTTTAAGCACAAACACTGTGAAGAGGGCGAGGAAAAGACAACGTTTTTTGTAGAAAGGAAATCGCCATTAGAAAATTGATAAGGCAATTGTATCCATTGGGCGATCATACAATAAATGAAATCAATAATCACACAACGTGCGACCAACCAAGTTGACATTTTCAAGTAATTGCTGATTTCAATTGATATAAATGGATAGATAATAATAACGAAGTGCATTTAAATTTGAATAAATAGCTTGGATGGCACGCCGAGAATAGAAATATAATATATGAGTAAATTTACGTGTACATTTAATGATTCACAGACCATTAAAAGGTGGCAAATATTCTTGCATTTTATGTAGAAAATATTTACATATATACACACATTAGGGTGGTTCTTAAAAAATCAAATTACCAATTTTTTTCAGTCTTACCCACCACCCACACCAGATTTTTTTAAAGCGAAGATATACGTAATTGATTCAAAAAATTATTTTAAAAATTTACATGCTTATTAACAATACGGCCTTAGATAAGATAGAAAATTCTGTAAAATTGAAAACAATTAAATTTTTGGCCAACAAAAGCCATTAGACATTTTGGAACTCTATCCTTGAATATACTCGAAAATTTCGAATAGTTATTTTTGCTAAATAAATATATATTAAGGACTAACATGTTCGCTAAAATATCTTTGAATTTTATCCTTCTAACTTTATTATTTTAAATAGCGGCTGGCCTTGTGCATCAAGAAATTTAATTCATTTCAATCATCTAGGATCGACCGGGACTAGCATTTGACACCTACGCCTTAATAAATAAACTGTACATCTACATATATATTTACTATATCTGAGAACTGTCGTCTGTTAAAGTGCAGTAGTTTACGCTAAAGTCAATGAGAGCGCGTCGCCGTTTTCTCTGATAGCCCGACGGCCACTATAGCTCTGGGGTGCTTAACCACAAATTCGAAGCTGATAAAGGAGTGCAAAACTATTTTGAACGGAACTACTAGTCAGTTCAAATCAGCTTTAGCTTGGGTCCCTCAATCATCGTAACATTGCCGCAAATGAGGCTGCCGATGAATCAGCTAGGGACGGTTTCACATTGGCCTCAATCGAACGCGAGATCTCGCCCTCAATCGGATTTTATACGGGGAATCAGGTCATAGGTGTCGCATGCCGAATAGTTAGCCAAGCGTATGTAGCACCTTCTGAGAGCTAAAGAGAGCTCACCCACTGCCGATCACGTATAAAATACAATTGCTTTTAAATAACATCATCTCCTCCCAACGCACAGTGTTTCGATTATAGTTGCAAAACTAGAGCACATGTCAAGTTTCAGTGAAATCGGTGCATGTGTACTATTATTTCCACCTGCCTCCTTATAGTCGAAACACTGTCCAACGTTTCGAACGTTCTCCGCATACGAAAATTAAAATTAATTTTAGTTTTTTTCTCTGCGTTTCCGGATACGGAAAATTGTACGAGACCGCAGTTTTGGCAAAATTTACGTTTCTCTGCTATATGGGAGAAACCCCAGTTTCTTACTGGTTATTGACCGGTTAACAACCATGCTAGAAGCATCTCTTTACGCTTTTGCATGACATAAATACGTTAACTATGGTTTCAATAGCAATTTAAGTAAAAAATTATTATTTTTCCCTTCTATTTTATTTATTTTTCACTCAAATTGCTTTCGTGAAACTGGCTGTAAGAGCTTTGTTAATGCTTGCCTAACCGAGACCGCTACATGAAAAAATCTTCCATAATTCAGAGGATGAACTGTCACTGAAACGGGATTCCAGCTAGTAGTAGTATGCACTACTAGCCTGTCTGTCATATCTGTGACCTGAAAATATGGGCAAAGATATGTGTCTTTCCAACTCTCCGTATGAATTGATATAACTTTGATTGCATTTTCCCACAAAATTGAAATTTTGAAATACTTTTCAATACAGTAAATAATTCCAATAAAATGTTTTTATTATTTCCGCACGGAGTTCACTATGGCGGTCAAGTTCTTAACCCAATGTATGAGCATAAATATACAGACGTGCGCATGGCACTTGTAGCAGTTAACGGGTGCGCCACCCACATATATGTAGTATTGTTACAGGCCATGACAATTCTAACAATGCATTGGAAAACAACCAAACAATCGATTACCGCCAACTTTCGAAGTAATCAATAACGATTTTATATTGTTAAGCGCTACCTGTGGATGTTTGTTTGTTTGTAGTTTTTGTGTGTGCAGTTGAAGAGCTTAAAGCATTTGCAATTGTTGTTAGCACACAATAAAATTTGGCTTTTGAGTTGTTTGCCATATATATATCTACTAAACTGAAGTGTGGCTGCCGACGACAGTATTAGAGGGGATTTACTAATGTATGTATAAGCACATATACATGTGTACATACATATATTTGCTAAAAATTATCAGGAATTCGCCATCGACTACAAAAACGTGATAAGTTTTAAAGTGGCGAAAGTCAACCTAATTGAACAAGTTCTAAAATTCGATAAAAATCAGTTTAAAAATGTTTAAATGGCAACTTCGAATGAAAACACAAAAATTATTTCGATGTGTAAATGCAACAGGAAAAATACGTTAATCATCACGTTAAAAAAAACTATGGCACTTGTCAATGTGACATTTTGGGTCATGGCTTTTGCTGAAGTTTAAAACTTAAAAACATATTTATTTAAATAAAACTCAGGCGCCACTTAAGTGAATTTCATATGCTTTGCAACAATTAGCCCTTCAGAATCAGCCCCATTTACATATGAACATGTACAACATGTGAACAAAACTCTACAC